GACTTTGATCTTACTTTGATGCTACTTTAGTGGCAGAGAGTGTAAAGTTTCATCAAAGCCGCACTACATGAACAGAACTGTCATACATTTTCTATTAGCAAAAAAAAAACAAATGCAAAAACGTAGCAAAAAAAGCAACACTATTTGGTGCAGGTCCGTTGAAGTCTATTATGCACAAAACACAATCTGCAGCGGAAAAAGAGTCCCTGACCCTTTAACCGCTTTCCGCGCCGCTCTATAACAGAATTACTGCTACAGGGCGGCATGGGTGCGCAAAATAACGTGTATATATATATATGTGATTTTGCAGTTCGGGGTGGGTGGCTCGCCACGCGCATGCCCTACCCATGCCACCATTCATGGCCTTGGCTGTCAGTCACCGGGTCCCGGCCAGTGATTACTCGCCGGCACCTGGTGATCGCTGAGTATCTCCGACGGGGGAGAGACCTGTATGTAAATAATACAGATCTATCCTGTCAGCTCCAGCACACTGCATAGCAGAGGCATACAAAACTGTGTGCTTACAGTGAAACACACACACAGCCAACATAGTGAAACAGCACACAGTTAACCCTTTGATCGTCCCAGATGTTAACCCCTTCCTGCCCAGTGTCATTAGTACAGTGTCGGTGCTTTTTATTAGCACTGATCACTGTATTGGTGTCAGTGACACCAAGTCAGTTTCCCCTAGTGTCAGAATGCCTGTGCAGTCCCGCAGTCCCACAATAAGTCACTGATCGCCGCCATTACTAGTAAAATAAAAATAAATTCCAGTATATATACCGCCATTTGTAAACACTATAACTTTCACGTAAACCAATTAATTTACACGTATTGAGATTTTCTTTAGTGAAGACATGGAGCAGAATACATTTTGGCCTAGATTTATGATGAAATTTGATTTTTTTAAATTTTTTTACTGGACATGTTTAATAGTAAAAAGTCAAAAATATGTTTTTTCAAAATTGTCACTTCAGTGTGATTTTAGCCCCATAGACTTCTATGTTATCTCACAGAAGTCGTATCAGCATAGATAAGAAGCATTCCTATGAAACCTTGATGGATAAATGGTTTTTTTTAACCCTCCCCTCTCTTTCCTGGTCATCCTTCATCCTTTGATTTTAATACAGCTACAGTTTTGGAGCTTTCCTTGGATCTTACCTTTGGTCAATCAATCGATCCTTTCTTTGACCGATCCTATCTTTGATCCATCAAAGGAAGGGTCAAGCGTTCACAGGAAAAGTCAATTGATCAAACAAAGGCTTGATCAATCGAAGGAAGGATTAAAACCTCTTCAGTGCAAACCTAGCCTTAGGGAAGGAGAGGTAAGGGTGAAAAAAACACTCATCCATCAGTCAGAGGAATGCTTATTATCTATGATGATGCAACTTCTAATGTCGCATCAAAATCGCAAGCAAGCTGCACTGCATTGTCGTATTGTAAATTTTTCTGAAAATCCCATTCGAAAAGTGGGAGGTTATGTTGGCAAAGCACAACGCAAAGACGTCAAAAACGCACCATGCATTGTTTTAAATTTAACTTAATGTGGAAAAAACGCATATGCATTTTTTATGCATTTTTGATATAAAGCAGTGTGTGAAAGTTGCCTTACTATATACTTTTCTCCACACTTCTAGGAAATGTTGAATGGGGGAGTGTAAAAATGGTCAAGAGTTTAGAGACCAGGAAAGGATGCAATACGGGTCTTATATTGGTTCTAAAGCTTTTTTTACCTTACATTCTTTGCAATATGGTAAAACATGTCTCAGTGATTGTATCGCTCCCTCAGCCCCCCCCCCCCCCTTTATATTTGCCTGAGTCCTATCTCAATCCAGCTCTGTGCCCGTCTGCAGTGGTTCTCTCTTCTTACAGAGGCAGCAGGGGTGCCATTGGCTCCTGCTAGTGTCAATCAAATCATGTGAGCAGAGAGCAGAGGCGGGCTAAGCAGTACTGTGTGTGTCAGTAGAGGCACAAAAAAATACCTTTACAAATACTTTAGGCAGTAATTATGCCTTACCTGCATGGCAGGGCCATAAACAATGTAAATTTCAAGGACCCTACTTGTGGCCCTAGACTTTAACATTAAAGGCTTAAATGAAAATCAAACAATAATTTCCTCTAAGTCTACAGTGCTTCTGCATGTTCTACATGGAATCTTCTACTCTTCCTACCAGTCCATCCCCCACAGTTACTACCTTTTGTACAACTAGCCCCTCCCTCCTTGATTGTAAGCTCCCAGGAGCAGGGCCCTCCTATCCTTCTTGTATTGAACTGTACTGTTGCTGTATTGTCTCCCGTTATATTTGTAAAGCGCTGAGCAAACTGTTGGCGCCATATAAATCCTGTATAATAATAATAATTCATGCTCATTAGTATATTATACTCGTATCCTCCCTAGCGGTCTGATTATGTCAGTATTTCTGTGCTCAAAGTGGTACATTTTTTTTCATGGAAATATGTATTTTTTTTATTGTAGGCCTGTAAATTTTTAGAATAACTCACTGAAATCTGTCCAAAAACAAGAGTCTAGTAAAACATCCCGGGTATGATAAAATTTGAAACACGAAATCATAAATTCTAATTTAATAAATAATCATAAAAAAATTATTAATATAATATTAAATTTAATTCAATAATATAATCAAACCAAAAACACTGAAATTTGAAATATAGCGCCAAGTTCTCACATCACTGAGCAAAGTCGCAAAATCGTTTTCAGTGTCTGATGATGAATTTCCCCACGAATCATTATCACTCAATTCTGCAAGTGGTTCTGATTTACTATCACTGTTCTCTAGCTGGTCTAAAACCGATTTTGACCTAAAGGGACACTTTTTGGACGCCATGGACGTTCTTCTCAGTTTCCACGCAGAAAGAACAATAAAAATGCAGGCAGGGCACAGGACAAAGCAGTAGGGACAAAATGTAAGTGAAATGGTTTTGATAAAGTAATGTTTTTACTATGTTAGTTAAGTGCATTTAGTGAATGTCACTTTTTCACATTTTTACATTTCCCGCCAGTTCAATCCCCGTACGTCCCGACGCTCGCAGGGAACGGAACCCGGAAGGCAGATGCCGGCATCGGCCGGAGGACATTGCCGGGGACACTGCAGGAGGGACATCGCGGGAGTGAAGGACAAGGTAAGTGAAGAAGAGGTCCCGGAGCTACGCTGCAGGGTATTCCCGAGTGTAGCTCGGGGTCACCGCTTGTGGTACAGAAAATTTACCCCGAGCTACACTTGGGAAATACTGCCAGGGAGGTTAAAGTGATTCTAAATTATTATTTTTTTTTTAAATATGTCTATACTTACCAATGGCTTCGGCTGCTGTCTCAGCCAATGAGGAGAGGGGTGTCCTGGAATAGCTGAGACTCCAGTGCACATCGCTGGATCAAGGATCAAGAGGGGACTTAGGGTGACTATTAGGGGGGCCTGGGAGGATGATGCAGAAGAGAAGATTTTTTACTTTCATGCATTGAATGCATGAAGATAAAATAACCTTGAGTCTATACAACCACTTTAAATAGTATGCACTTATAGGCATTAAAGAGCTGCTGATATATTTTTAGTTCCCCATTGTCTGCACTGCCAGGCAACACGCATTTTTCCATCTTTCCATTGGAGTCAGTAACCATGCCATGGGCTTCTTTCTGTTGTTTTATTGAAGGGAAACAACTTGGATGGGAATAAAGGAATATGGGATGTCCAGCTTGACTTGACAGAACAATATGAGGAGAAACTTCCTTCTCCATGTACATGAAAATGCAGATCCTGGACTGTACTCCCTCTGAAATAACACCAGTCTCTAAAAGAACAAAAGCAAAGTTTCTCTTTTAGGGGCTCTATACCCCCTGGGCGAAACTCACAAACATTCCCAATACCTGCAGAAAATATCAGCCCACCTGGCTGCCTTGTAAAGTGTCCCAGAGTAAGGGATATAGGCTAGCTGTGACACTGTGTCCCAATGAAAGCATGCTATATATTGCATGTGGGCAGCCTTCTCCCTTGTAGGCCCTGGGGGTGTAGAGGTACTCACACTGTACCTTGTATCCTTCTGCTTTGGATAAGACTGCTCTTCAGGCCTTCTACTGTGCTAGTCTTCCCTTTGTAGACAGTGTGTCTCCTGGATAAGACCATAGAGTAGTGAAGATCCATCTGTCCAGCTTCTTCCACATCTCCAGCCTGGAGGCAGAACCTTCCTTCCCTGGGGCCCTATTCCAGGCCTCACAGCACTTAGCACTCCATCTTCCACACACTACACATTGGCAGGCTCCTCAATATTTGTGGGCCCATCTTACCACCCCTGACAGGCCTCCTGCCTGGGGATTAGTCAAACTTCCATAATATTCTTTGCCTCTGCACCTCCTCAAACTAGTTTCTAGAAGTTTCCATGGACCTCCTGAACCTGGTGGAGGCGACAGAGGCCTGATCTGCAGAGCCTTTCAGCCTGACCTAAAGCTGAAGCTACAACAATCACTTAGACTCACATGACTACTGTGAGTCAGCATAAATTTACCTAACCTAACTGTACACCAGAGGATGCTTCATAGGTCAAAATCTTTAGCAAGTAATTATAGACATGTTAGTTTAACTTCTATAGTTGGGAAGATACTGGAGAGTTTACTAAAAGACCAAATAGATGAGTTCTTGATGGAAAAATATATTTTTAAGCAACAGACAGCATGGATTCATGAAAGACAGAAGTTGTGAAACAAATCTGATTTCTTTTTATGTGGATGTGCGCAAAATCTTGGACAGAGGGGTGGCGGTGGACGTGGTATACTTTTTTGCAAACGTGTTTGACACAGTTTCCGCACACACGGCTAATGTGTAAGGTAAAGTCTACAGGCTTGGAAAAATCTGTATGTAAATGGATAGAAAACTGGCTAAAAGATCATATTCAGAGAGTAGTGGTTAATGATTCATACTCTGAATGGTCTAGGTTGTCAGTGGTGTAACCCCAAGGTTCAGTGTTGGGTCCCTTACTTTTTAACCACTTCCCCATCTGGCCCATGTATGTAAATGGTCAGACAGTGGGCAGTGCAGGGGCAGGTTGCCATTCATAAAAGGCACCCACCATTTTGGATTGTGCGCGCTCCCTGGAAAGCGCGCGGCACCGCGATCGCTGTACGGGACCTCTGTGTGAGGTCCCGATCATGTGGATCACTGATTGGCCAATCAGTGATCACATGGATAGGTGTAAGCAAGGTGTCACTTCTGACATCATTGCTTACTACGTGTCAAATCTGTGAATGATCACAGGAGATCGCATGGGTACAATGGCTATTCACAACAGCCATTTGTACCATATGACAAGCTGTGACCAATCACAGCATTTTCTCTCAATGGCTGCAAGAATGCAGCCAGAGAGACGTGAGAAATTGATTGCTTTTGCAGCCTTTATGGTGTTAAAAGAAATCAGTGTAAAAAAAAAAAAAAAAATCTTCATAACCCCCCCACAAGTAGTAGTACAGTGTCACTATGGTGACACTACTGCTTGAGGGTGACAGTATGATAAATAAACAAACAAAAAAACAAAACATGAATAATAATATAAAAAACTAAAATAAAAATTATAAAAAAAAAGTTTAAAACTGTTATAATTTTTGGCCGTGGTTATAAACTGAAATTTGGGGTATTTTTGTACTAAAAAGATAACTGAATACATTTTTGGCCAAGATTTATGTGAAGACAAAGATTATTTATTTGCAAAATTATTTTAAGAAAAACACTTTTGTTTTTTTTAATTTTTTGGACTTTTTTCATTTATGTAGCAATAAAAAAAAAAAAAATTCCAGTGGTGAATAAATACTCACCAAAATAAAGTTTTTATCTGTCTCCAAAAAAATGCTAAAGAAAAATTTCATATGGGTACAGTGTTGCAATGACCACTGCCAAAATGTCATTCAAAGTGCGACAGCGCTGAAAGCTGAAAATTGGCCTGGATAGGAAGGGGGTAAAAGTGTCCGGAACTTGAAGTGGTTAATATATTTATAAACGATATAGCGTCTGAGATTAAAAATCGCATTTCAGTCTTTGCAGATGACACACCAAGCTGTGCAGTGGAATAACGTCCTTACAGGGATATGTCCAACGTACAGAAGCCGACCTCAATGTCTCTGTGTAATTGGGCAACTATGTGGAAAATGAGGTTTAATGGTTGATTAAATGTAAGGCTTCTGCACTTGGGGGCTAAGAGATATGCATGCAATATGCATGCATCATACATACTGGGGGGGGGGGGGGGGGGTACACCTGGGGGATATCAACTGGTGGCAGAAAGGAAGCAGGAGGTGGGGGGGGTTCAATCGGTGGAGAAGGATCTGGGAGAGTTCTGGTAGATCACAAGCTTAATAATGGCATGCAATGCCAAGCTGCGGATTCTAAAGTGAGATGCAAAATCCTCTCTTGTATTAAAAGGAGGTATACGACTACAGAGAGAGAGATATCATATCCCACGCCGGCTACACAAATCCCGGTGTTAGTAAGACCTCATCTGGAATATGCATTCAGTTTTTAGCATTAAAGTTTTGGCACCAATTCACAAAGTAAGGTAAAGAACATTGGGGGGAACTGGAGAGAGCGTACAGATAAGGCAACCAAACTCTCTCCGGCATGGATGAGCTCAGCTATGAGGAAAGATTATGATTATTGATACTAATGGGATATGAATCTTCCATGTATAATACATAAGGGAGATCTGATCACCATGTATAATACATAAGGGGGGATATGATCTCCATGTATAATACATAAGGGGAGATATGATCACCATGTATAATACAGTTAAGTGGGGATATTTGATCTCCATTATAAATAAGCTTGATACATAAAGGGGGGAGATATGATCCCATGTATGCAGTTATAGGGGGATAAGGGGGGATTATGATTCTCCATGATGTATAATACATAAGGGGGGGGGATATGATCTCTCATGTATAATACATAAGGGGGAGATATGATCACCATGTATAATACATAAGGGGGGATATGATCTCCATGTATTGATACATAATGGGGGGATATGATCACCATGTATAAATACATGAAGGGTTGGATATGATCTCCATGTATAAATACATAAGGGGGGTATGATCTCCATGTATAAATACATAAAGGGGGATATGAACTCCATGTATAATACATAAGTGGGGGATATGATCTCCATGTATAATACATAAGGGGGGATATGATCTCCATGTATAATACATAAGGGGGGGATATGATAATCTCCATGTATAATACATAAGGGGGGGATAATGATCTCCATGTATAATACATAAGGGGGGGATATGATCCTCCATGTATAAATACATAAGGGGGGATATGATCTCCCATGTATAATATACATAAGGGGGGATATGATCTCCATGTATAATACATAAGGGGGGATATGATCTCCATTATAATACATAAGGGGGGGATATGATCACCATGTATAATACATAAGGGGGATATGATCTCCATGTATAATACATAAGGGGGGATATGATCTCCATGTTATAATACATAAGGGGGGATATGATCTCCATGTATAATACATAAAGGGGGGATATGATCTCCATGTATAGAAATACATAAGGGGGGATATGATCTCCATGTATAATACATAAGGGGGGGGATATGATCTCCATGTATAATACATAAGGGGGGATATGATCTCCATGTATAATACATAAGGGGGGATATGATATCTCCATGTATAATAATACATAAGGGATATGATCTCCATGTATAATACATAAGGGGGGATATGATCTCACATGTATAATACATAAGGGGGGGATATGATCTCCATGTATAATATAATAAGGGGGGATATGATCTCCATGTATAATACATAAGGGGGGATATGATCTCCATGTATAATACATAAGGGGGGGGGGGATAATGATATGATCTCCATGTATAATACATAAGGGGGGATATATGATCTCCATGTATAATACATAAGGGGGGATATGATCTCCATGTATAATACATAAGGGGGATATGATCTCCATGTATAATACATAAAGGAGGGGGGGATATGATCTCCATGTATAATACATACATAGGGGGGGATATGATCTCCATGTATAATACATAAGGGGGGATATGATCTCCATGTATAATACATAAGGGGGGATATGATCACCATGTATAATACATAAGGGGGGATATGATCTCCATGTATAATACAAACATAAGGGGGGATATGATCTCCATGTATAATACATAAGGGGGGATATGATCTCCATGTATAATACATAATAATACATAAGGGGATCTCCATGTATATGTATGATCTCCATGTATAATACATACAGGGGGGGATATGATCTCCATGTATAATACATAAGGGGGATATGATCTCCATGTATAATACATAAGGGGGATATGATCTCCATGTATATAATACATAAGGGGGGATATGATCTCCATGTATAATACATAAGGGGGGATATGATCTCCATGTAATAATACATAAGGGGGGATATGATCTCCATGTATAATACATAAAGGGGGGATATGATCTCCATGTATATAATACATAAGGGGGGATATGATCTCCATGTATAATACATAAGGGGGGATATGATCTCCATGTATAATACATAAGGGGGGATATGATCTCCATGTATAATACATAAGGGTGGGATATATGAATATCCATGTATAATACATAAGGGGGGATATGATCTCTCCATGTATAATACATAAGGGGGGATATGATCTCCATGTTTTAATACATAAGGGGGGATATGATTCTCCATGTATAATACATAAGGGGGGATATGATCTTTTTGTATAATACATAAGGGGGGATATGATTCTCCATGTATAATACATAAGGGGGATATTTGATCCCATTTTTATTTTTACCATAAGGGGGGATAATGATCTCCATGTGTATAAAATACATCATAAGGGGGATATGATCTCCATGTATTATACACATAAGGGGGGATATGATCTCAATGTGATAATACATAATGGGGGATATATCTCACCATGTATTAAAACATAAGGGGGGATATGATCTCCATGTATATTAATACATTTAAGTGGGGATATGATTTTCCATGTATAAATACATTTTTTTTTATTTTTTTATATTTAGTATTTTTACCTATGATTTATTTAAAGTGATTTTTTTTTGTACTCCGAGTTATTCCCCCTGCAATACATACCACAGGCAGGGATTTTGGCCTTTTTTTTGCTCTTTTTTGAGAAGTCCATAAATGATAAATTTCCAAATAGCACAAAAAGGTTTTTTTTTTTTTTAGTGAAGCTTTTTTTTTTTTGTGGAATTTTTTTTCTTTTTTTTTTTTTTTTTTCTAGGCCAGCTCTTGGATTTGTTTAAAAATTTCCTGGATTGTTTCTTAGATTTTTTTTTTTTAACTTGATGGAATTTTTTTTTATAGGAAAAATTTTCCAGGTTTTTATTTTGCTTTTTTTTTTATCAGGAAGGAATTTTTTTTCCCCTTTTTTTTTTTTTTTTTATTGGATCATGCTTTGCTTTTTTTTTTTTTTTTTTCCTTTGATCAGCTTTTATTTTTTTAATTTTTATTTTTTTTTTGGTTTTTGGATAACCTTTTTGTTTTTTTTTCAGTTTGATAACTTTTTTTTTTAGGTATTTTTTCGGTTAAATTTTGTACATTACTAAAATTGTGAAATAGTAAAAAAATCGAACTATGATCCATTTTTAATTTAATAATCCATAGTTTCACCGAGTACCGGTTGTCTGTTAGTTTTTTTACAAGTTTTTTTTGTTTTTTCTTTTTATATAAATGGCAAAAATAAGAGATTTTTTTTTTGATGCTACTTTTTTTTTTAGAAGATATTTGAGCTCAACCCCTTTTTTTTGATAGCAACCTAACCATGCAGGAGGGCCATTAAAGGCAACAGACAAACTAACCCATTTACTGAAAACTTGTGCTTTAAAACCACATCTTATGAACTTTACCTCAACCTACTCACCTGTATCAAAAGAACTCTTTTGTTTTTTCATCCCTATTTAACTATTTTTAAATTGCATTTTTTTCCAATTTTCCATGCGAGCCACACTACATCACATTTTTTTAGGAAATTTTTCATAAATTTTTTTTTTTTTGTGTGGCTGGAAAAAGAAAGGAGCTTTTTTTTTTCAGAGGTTTTTTACTGGATTTTTTTTCGGGTTATTGGTTTTAAATTCACAACACCAAGGTATGGTCTAATCTTTTGTGATTTTTTGTCCAGTTTACAGTGTGAAATTAAACACATTTGTAAACTCAATGGCCTTTAGCTATTAT